AGCAACGTTTCGGCAGAATCTCATCTGCCATCATCAGGCTTCTGTATTGTGTTCATCAGTTCGTCTATATATATCAGTTTTTATTTTGCTTTGAACAATGTTTTTTTAAAAAAACCTGCTACCACATTAGTTAATTTGGGCTGAACTAACACTATATAAGGGCTTCCTTATATACTGTTATAAAAGCATTATCATATCCTTGAGCAATACTCAGTCCACAATACTTTCTAAAACCAAAATTGGCAGACATTTTATTTGGAGGTTTTGCTTTCCATTTTGCACAAATCCTGCATCCTTTCCCTCCTACTCATTGTATTTTTAGATTTCTGTTTCAAATCAAATGTACTGATTTAGCATTGCCTTTGGAAAAGCCGTCTTCTGCTACTGCAGGATGAAAAAACAAGCCAGTTTTTCATCTCATTCCCAAATGCTTGCAGATTTAAGGCATCCTTTGTTTGATCTTGACAGTGAGATTAGAGTCGTATGGCAAATTGATTTGGGAGCGGGGTGGGGAATAGCATACTAAAAAGAGAAAAGTGAAGGCCATGAAATACTTAAGAATAGGACAAAAACAGGAACAAATTTGGGGCAAGAAGAATGATACAAAGCCCATATTAGTATTGTACTCTAATATTTCTTAGGAATATTTGTTAACGTGTGTTGCATATGGTCCAAAACATTTTGGAGTACAACATCAATAGGATGGAACTAAGAAAAGAAACTAGCCAAGCTAGCATTTAAATTTAAATTTACATTAGTAATTACATACTATTTATTCTCTCTGTACCTGATTTTTTTTTTTAAAAAAAAAAGTGATTTGAATAGTATAGAGCAGGATTCACAATATACACAAAACTGATCAATCTCTGTATTTTATTCTGCTTAGATCAGCCCTCAAAATGTGAACTCAACTATAGTAATTCTCATGACTACCTTTTTATAGTATGTCTATAAAGTTACCTCACAAACCAAACATATACAAAACAGAAATGTTCTATAAAAATGTATTTCTTGTTGTGCCTTAGTGAACAATTGTTGTTATTGTTGTATTTGTATTCCTCCTTTTATTTTTACAAATAACTCAAGGCAATGAATATATCTAACATACTTTCCTACTCCAGTTTTTTCCACAACAACGAACTGTGAGATTGGCTTGTGTTGAGGCAGAATGTCTGACCTAAAGTCACCCAGTTAGCCTTCATGGGAAAAAGAGGCACTTGAACAGTCTCCTGCTTTCTAGACTTATGCCTTAACCATTATACCAATACCGCAGAAAAAAATATTGACCTTAGAAATGGCATCTAAGAGCTGATAAGCCATGTGTTATTTGATATTATATAAAAAATTAGAAAGGGCCTCATCATATCACAATATGTATTAACTTATCGTTTTCACCAAAGCAGCCATTGTAGACTACTATATTTAATTCCTGGCATACCTCTTAAAGATGATGTGGAAATCTTCTGCCAGAGCAACACATGTTCATTGTCCATCAAAATTAAAAGGACTGTCCTAAATGGATAAGCTGTCATAAATTATACTTCCCAGTATATTATGCATCCTTTGTATAATTATGTACCAACAATCCACAACTTAAATGAGCCTGATTGATCATAATCTTTACTGGTCATTTAAAAGTTTTCCATGTGACCATACCTGATTTTATGACCTTTTGTGGTGATCATTAAGTGGGTCCATTTTCTGCAATGGACATTTTTGCCAGAAACTGGAAATAAATGCTGGTTTTCAGCAAAAAATGTCAGTCATGAACACATGACCATAGGTATTGCAAAAGTCATAAATGCAGGCCAGTTGCCCAAACCCAGATAAGATCAAAGTGTCCAGCCATCAGAACCTCAAAGTCAGGTTGTAAGTAGCTGTGGAGAGGTCCATCAGAAATTTGAATGGTCACAAAGAGACCAGTTATAAGTCATGGTTTACCTGTATAATGAGAATATTATTATAAAGTTGTTTCATTATTAATCAATTTTCTGGCCGCTTCTTTTTTACAGAATGCTAGGCACAATAGATAAAGAACTTGAAAGAAAATGTGGAATATGTTGCCAGTGGTGAGAATATTATATGCACAGAAATGAAAAGACATACTAATTCCCACTATGAAGAATGGATAATAAAGACCATGGAATTGGCAGAGATGGCTAAATTGAAGAGGAGAATCTTATCTAATTTTGTTTTCATTTGGAAACCAACATTCTGAACTTTGTATTTGAAACTGAAAAAAGAAAAAAGAAAAATTTTTAGTTTTAGGTTTTGACTATAACTTCGCTGTTATATAAATAATTTGAAACAACAAATAGATGTACTCCATGTTCTCTCTTGTAGCCCTTTAAGATTCTTACTATCAGTCCTTCATCTATTTTCTAGGCAGACAACTACCTTAAAGCACTGAATTGTAATCATCAATCGTTTTTATTTCCTAATAATCCCATGATTCAAAAAAAAAAAACCTCCTAAAATCTAAAATTTTACATTAGCTACAGTTCCATTGCAAATGTTCCCTGTCTGAGCATAGCTCTTGAAAAGAGAACTGACAACCTTTATAAACATAAAATGATTACTGTCATTTGTTTTCATCTGAGTTCAGAATCAGGTTTGGCACAAAAAAACTTCAATTCCTAACCTGGGTAAGGTGGAGTGCAACTTTATTGATTTATCTGAATGGCAGCTTTTGGTATTTTTTGTCTTAATAATCTGCTCAACCTTGTAAATTGAAAATTGGAGATCAATGAAACAGAGATTCCACTCCTAATTGTAAATTTATTTCCAAAAGAAATAAACCTATGGGCAATGTTTTAAGACGTCCTACAATATTTCATTCTATCATCCATGTTTTTAAAACAGGGGTCCCCATCCCCTGATCCACAGATCAGTCCGGTCCATGGCCTGTTAAGGAGGAGGCCATGTAAGCAGCGGACAGGCAAGTAAAGATTCATCTGTGCATGTGGATGTGCACAAAACCCTCTTCCCAGTGGTCCATGAAAGACAATTTTTTTTCTGAAAAATTCTGGTGCCAGAAAAGTTGGGGACCCCTGTTTTAAAATATCTGCAGGACTACATCAGGAAGAGAGCTCCAAGGATAAAGTACCATTGCCTACCATCTGGAGGAACCACATGTGTGCCCAAGATTGTCTAGAGATATCACTGGAAGGAGGAAAAGACAATAAGAAAATATTTTCCAAGGTTCAGAAACTGAATGCATGCAGCCTTTTTTATATAGGGTTGTATTCCTGAAGAACTAAGTGTGTGGTGGGGAAATCTTTATTACAGCTTTCTCACTTAAGACTCATCTTTGATTTGAATGCCACCTATCACCATTGCAGAGAGGAAAGGAATGCAGCCACACTGACTCATGTTCTGGTAATGTTCTTTCCATTCTTTCCATTTAGGTTATTGTAAAGTACTTTACCTGAGCCTGACCTTGAAAATTATCCAGAAAGTAGAACTGGTACAGAAGGCAGCTTGAGCCACTCTCAAGAGTCATATGGTGCTGATCCTGAAAAAAAAATAGCATCAGCTGGCTACTCAGAGTGTGTGTATAATTTGGTAATGACCAATAACAATGTTTTTGCAAATTAATTTCATTTGGGAATAGCCAAACTTCAACTGGAGATTCAAGTGACCTACCTCTGCTCCAGATTTCTTGAGACAGAGAAACTTATATAAACTAACATGTACAATTCCTCTTTCACCCTATTTTTTGACAATGCTATTTCTTCAACCATGATGAGTTGTGGGCTGTCCTTTTCTGACTGTGGCTTCAAAACTCTCAAAATGGGCAGTTATTCAAGTAAGAACAAAAGATTAAACTTTTTTTAAAAAATCACAATAAATAATTTAGAGGTTAAAGGCATATTTATATTAAAAGTTGACTATAGTACGTGCTTGAGTCTGAATCAAAATGTCTATAAAAATTCAGGTTTGACTAAAAAGGGGATTTTTAAAAAATCTGTGAAAATGCCTGGGCTGAGATTTCACAGAATATTGTCTATAAATGTATGTTTTTTTAGTATTAAGAGCCCATATGATAGACCTATGTTTTTATCCAGTGGTCCACCTAGAATGTCAAACTTTGATGCAACAGTATTACCTTATAGATAAACTTAACTGTGTATATAATACAATGTATTATTAGAGGCAAAAAGTGTGAAGAAACAACCAAAATCTTTTTTTTCACTTTTGCTCCCCCTCAGTCTTCAAGGATCAAAACATGAATTATCAAATCTGTATCTTCTTTGCCACTACACATATCAATTTTATCTATGACATCTATGTCCAACCCAGTATCTTATGTCTTCTAAAGTTGCACCATCATTGCTTTAATTGAATTCATCCATCATACTTGTGATTATCCTCTTCTTCTCTTTTCTTCCCACAATCCCAGCACTAAAGACTTTTCAGAGAGTTAGGCCTTCACAAAATATGTCAGAATTATGATAATTTGACCCTCATCATTTATACCCTGAGTGGGAACTCTGGATTTATTTGTTCAATGATCCATTTTTATTTTTATTTATTTTTGTTTCCTTGGCTGTCCCTGTTACCTTCAGTAGCTTTTCTACCATCCAAGTTAGGAGCCTCAGTACAATAATTATTCTGCCTTAATGTTCTAGAATTATAATCTAGAATTAGCTATTGCATTGTATTCTTTGTTTTCAACCAATAGGCATTTTAGGTTGAAAGATATTAATAATAGTGGTGTATTTTACCACACCCTCATAAGAGTCACACATACTATTGACTGGAATCATCCATTTCTTCCTATAGTAGCAATCAACCAAAGCACTTATTACACAAACCTTTGGAACAAGGTGCTCTTATCAAGGTTTATAGGTTATCACTCACAGTGTAGGACTATTTTTTTAATTGTTACTTGTTCAGTTCTTGTTGAAAAGTTTACTCATTTACAATATCAGAAATAAAATCAGCTGCCCAACACACCCATGAGGTACCATAAGAACACCATACATATATAGAGCCATTCTGAGGGCGCTTGTGGAAGTGTGGACCAACAAACATATTTAGAGTTTTGAAACTATTTTGTGGATACTCAAAAATGGCTATTATGAGGAGGGATTTATCTATTCACAAAAGAGCTCACACTGGAAGTCATTAAACCTCCATTTACCTGAAAGCAGACTAGTAAAATTGATATTACAGATAATCTTCAACTACAACAATTCACTTAGTAAAGATTTGAAGTTACATACAACACTGAAAAAAGTGACTTACAACTTAGTCCTTACATGTGGGACTGTGACAGCATCCCCATGGTCAGCTGATCAAAAGTCAGGCACTTAGCAATTGCCATTTATTTGTGATGGTTGCAGCATCCTGGATCATGTGACTGCCATTTGTGACCTTCTAAACCAGTTTCTGACAAGCTAAGTAAATGGGGGGAGGTAGAGTCCCTTAATAATGTGATTCACTTAACAACTGTGGCAAGAAAAGTGATGAAGCTGGGCATAACTCACATAAAGATTGCCTTGCTTAGTGATAAAAGTTCTGATCCTAATTTTGCTGTAAATTGAAAACTACCCATATACTTCCTCCATTTATCTTAACTTGCTTTTTCAGGAAAGAGAAATACACTTGTGAATAAAATTCCTTTTTATTTTCTTAGATGCCTCTGCACCTTATTGGCACTCATGGAAACTGTGGTAGCTGTGGTAGCAGAGCTTCCAGGCTCTGTTTGAGAGTTCTGCACTGCCAAAAAAACCAGGCAGGCACCAGGCCTGTAGAGGTGGTGCATGATCAGTCTCCCTACCTCCTTTTTTTCCTAGTTAAAGCAGGGGTGTCAAACTCGATTTCATTGAGGGCCACATCAGGGTTGTGTTTGACCTCAGAGGGCTGGAGTGGGTATGGCCAGGGTGGGCATAGCCAGCATGACATCACTCATGTAGGAGGGTTGCCTGTGGTGGCCCAAGCGCTTTGACAGCAAAAACGGGCTCCCAAGCTCTGTTTTCGGCTGGACAGCCTCCTGCAACTCTCTGTCAGTAAAAACGGAGCTTGGGGGCATGCATGATCTTCATGAGCTTTGTTTTTGCTTGCAGAGGCACTGTGGGCCAGTCCTTCACTGTTTCCAGGGCAAATCCAGCCCACGAGCCTTGAGTTTGACAGCCCTGAGCTAAAGGAATCAGAAGCATGATGGGTATCAATTGAAGTGCTATGGTCACAACAAATCCCACATGCCCATTGCCAACTTGTCATTAAGCACCTCCAGTGTTAAAGATTCAGCTATGCAACTGCATGGGTGATCAACCTTTGTTTGTGTATCGTGAAATTTGAAATGTCCACTATAACAACATTATTCTACTAAGTAATGTTCAGTAGAGTCAAATCTTATTTTAAAATTTCTGTCACAGCTACTGTGATCTGCTACCTAGCCTTGCCATTGCTGGACAAAGTTAGACAATAACTTACACACACACACACACACACACACACACACACACACACACAAAGACAAATATTCAAGAAGTCAATTCTGATGGATGACAAATCATGATGCTTTGGAAATGCCACCACACTTGAAATTCTAGACCTAGAAAACCTTGAATTACGCCATCTTCAGTCTGATCTAAGTGTGGTATATGAAATCATACATTGCAATGACTTACCTGTCAATGAATACTTCATGTTCAACCATAACAACACAAGACACAATAGATACAAACTCAAGGTTAACCGCACCAAACTTGATTGCAGGAAATACGACTTCAGCAACAGAGTGGTCAATGTCTGGAATACTCTACCTGACTCTTTGGTTTCTTCCCCAAACCCCAAAAACTTTAACCTTAGAATGTCTACTATTGACCTCACCCCCTTCCTTTTTTTTTTTTTTTTAAACAAGTTTTATTAATTTTTAAAACACACAAATTATCATTATTCATTACATGTTTAAACCTTTTTCCATTGTAAATTTAACAAGTCAGATAAATTATGATTCTGTTTTAAACCATTTCCATATAACATACCAAAACCTCTTATTCAATTTCTCTTTACTTCTCTTTACTCTTATTCAATATCATTATTATTATTTCATCTGTTTCTTTCTGACTTAGTTACCATTATTCTCATTCTATATTTCTACAAGTTTTAACTAATTCTCCCCCCAAAAAAGACATATACACACAACACACAAAACATAAAAAAAATCTTTTTGGAAAGTAACTTGGACCCAGGTGTCTCTCTCTTCATGGACTTCAATTATATTCATGCTCATCTTACATATCATTACTTATTTTATTTACCATTCTAAACCTTCTATATTAACTTCTCCACATATTTCACACTTCTTAATTCTACCTTAATTAATCATCTTAGTTTGAATCATTATATTTGTATCTTTTGTCCATTTTTTATCATCCCTTTGTCTCATTCCTTATGAAAAAAAAGAAAATCAGTTTCTCCTGAAATCATTAATCAGAGTATGATGCCTTTCTATCTCCCCCCTAAGTTAATCAAATTAATCTTTAAAATAATATCTAATACCCAATCAGATTTTGCTTGGTACATTCTATCTAACTAATACATCCAACACAATTAAGTGCATAATTAGACAATAAATCCAAATATTAAAAAAAAAATACTATAATAAAAATTTTATAATAACATCAATACCATAATTTTATTAAACTCTTTAATTAAAACAATATTCTAAACCTCTCCTATTATTAAGTTTTAAAGCCAATCATTTTTAAACATTTTAACATTTTAATCTCTTATCAACTCTTAAACCATTGCAATACTACCATCTCATCTTATGTACCTTGCAAAATCTTTTTTTTAAAAAAAAAATTATACTTTATCCATTATCCATAAAAAATTCCTTTTTTTCATTTAATTTCAAAACATTATAGCTTTTCTCCACCTTTTCCCTTTCTTTCTTCTCCCAACAAACCTTTCTACCCCCCCTTCTTCTAGCCTCTGCCTTACCGGCTTCCCTTCTCTGTCGTATTCCTTTTCCCCTTTGTTTACTATCATCATATTGGTTTTGCACTTTATTTTTCCCTTTCTTAAATGTTTTTTTAGATCTTAAGTCCTTAAGTCCTTTAGTTTTCTTCTTTTCTCTTCTTTTCTTTTCTTTCTCTCTTCCTTCTTTCTGGATCAAATTCTGAGATTCATTAAAGATGGCTCCTTCCTTTCTTTCTTGTTCCTCTGCTGTCTTCATCTGTTGTAATGTTTGTTGATAATTAGTAAGCGCCATTTCTAAAAAAAGGAAAGCTTCTTCCACACCATCTTTACCATTTTTTTTGCTTGTTCATATTCTTTTCTTAGTTCCTCAACAGAAAGAGCCATTATAAATCTTTTCTTTTCTTTTCTCCTTCTTTCTTCTTACAACAACCAGAATATTCAAAAGAAAATAAAAAAGATAAAACAGTCCCAAAGTTATCAATCAGTCCAAACCAAGGCAGAGTTCTCACTTTCTCCTTCTGGGGTAATATCAATCAAAGAGAAAGAAAGTCCAAATCTGTTTAAAATCTTATTACAATATATTCTAGTCTTCAAATCCTTAAGGCATCTGCTCCAACAAAGTCTTAGCATACAAATATTTTCTTTTTAATCCTCTCTCTTCCCACTCATCGCTTAAAACCAATTTCCACCTAAAAAAATAGGTTTCTTAATATCCAGTTATTTATTCCGTAGGGAAAAGAGGGAAAGCTATCCTTTCAGCACCTTCAAACAGCCGCTTTTTTCCTCTTCTGGCAGGTATTATTCAGAAAGTCATACTTTTCAGGAATTTTATTAAATATGTCTTAGAGTCCTAGGAGCCAAGAAAAACTTTCTCCTCTCAATCACTTTCTCCACTTCCTCCTGCGCATTCTTACCCGGCTGCCAGCTTCTTTGTGGCGGCCATTACGGACCGCCGCTACACCGTCCTGGGAAAAGGGGGTTCTGCCGGCCAGGGAGGGGGTCTGCAACACCCCCAGTCCCTTCTCCGGATCCCCCCTACCTTCAGCTGCCCCTGCAGGGCCGCCTAGCTCCGTACCCGTGTGGGTCGGAGCCCCAAAAACGGCTAGCGCGGCAGGGATCGCGCAGCTTCGCAAATCCCTGCCGCTCACGAAGCCGACAAACCGGAAGTCCCGACCTCACCCCCTTCCTAAGAGGCCTGTAGGGGGTGTGCATAAGCGCACCAACATGCCTACCGTCTCTGTCCTATTGTTTCTTTTATTTTTCTTATATGCACCATTTCATGTATTCATAGCTATGTATATACTTATACCTATTATCTTGTAAGCGATTGACAAATCAAAATAAATAAATAAATAAAAAATAAAATAAAATAAATCCCATTTTCTGGAGTACTAGATGTTAATCAGATTTGTCTCATCCTAGAGAGAAACTCAGCTGTACACTTGGATTTACTATACACTTTTCTTAAAGTTTTGTCCAGTGATATCAACTCTTTGGCATCATACTGTCCATATTGATTATGTGACTTTTCTTGAGAAAATACAGTTTTTAGTTTAGACTAAGATAAGTAAACTGCATCATATTCAGGCCTTGAGCTTGATCTCTAAAATGCAAAAGTCTGCCTTTAGTATCAAATCATATCTAATGGCCTTGTAGTTGCTACCACAATATTACTGATACAAATATTTGTTCCAAAGTCTGTTTTAATGGCTAAAGATACAAGCAGTATAAATGACTATTCCAAAGTTCAGTTACTAGTGCAGATTTAGTACATTTCCAAGTATCTAAGAAGTCAACAGTGTAACGTGGTAATGCTAGTTCCAGAATTTTGAATGATTTGTCTCCTTTGAAATAGAAATCACTCTCCTCAACCTAGCATCTTCTGGATATTTTGGACTTCATAATCCATATTAGGTTTATGTCAGGGTTCTAAATATAGAAGTAGTGTACTAATATATACAGTAAGAATGTACAAGTTCCTTACAAAGTATGACTAAAATTCATTGATAATGTTTATAGTTCCAGTTTATTGTAATCTCATGAATGAATCAAGAAATAGTTGGCACTTTCTCAATTCCCACTGTTCAATTTGATTCGCTATCACAGCTAAAATGAAAATTAGTTTATTGTAAATCAGCTAGAAACAGCACTTTAGAAACATTTAAACTATCATGGACTTCTGCATATATGACTCTTCCATTCTATTACAGATTTGTAGACTGAGAAAAATCACATCTCCATACTTTCATGGTTTCCAGTTTTATTTAATCCCTGTTAATTTTAATGTTTTTAATGTTTTTGTATTCTTGCTTTTATTGTGGTGTAAGCTGCCCAGAGTTGCAACATGATAAATAGATATGATAGATAGCTAGAGATAGTCCCTTAGTTTATTAAACCTTTTGAGAATTCTAGCCCTTGTCCTAATTTTGAATATGCAAAGCTAAACAAGT